GTTGTAGTCGACGGACTGATAATGATTTAGAGACGCGTCTACAGCAAACGGGTACCACCGCTGATCGCCCTCGGCCAGGTCGACCACGTGTGACGTCACATGCAAAGGATCGTCAGATTGTCTTACGTCACCTCCGTAACCGATTTTTGACGGCTACATCAACCAGAAATGAACTGTTTAGGGGTAGACTGAGTGCGCAAACTGTTCGAAACCGTCTGAGAACTGCTCACCTTCAAGCACGACGGCCATACTGCGGGCCGATTCTGACTCAATTACACAGACGTCAACGTCAATTGTGGGCACAGCGACACTTACGATGGACTCAGAGGAATTGAAAAAGTCGACTTCTGTGATCAATCCCGATTTAATCTTCGATTTGCTGATGGTAGGGTGAGGGTGTGGAGGCATGAACGTTACGCCCAGTGTTGTGTACAGGAAGTTGACAGATTTCGAGGCGGAAGTGTCATGGTGTGGGGTGCTTTCTGTGGCAATGCACGTTCCAGGCTTCTTGTCATCCGTGGCAACCTCAACGCTGCTGCTTACCGCGACCAGGTACTGGCACCAGAACTTCTGCCTTTTATGGCAGCGAATGGACCCGGTTTGATCTTCCAACACGACAATGCCAGACCCCATAAAGCAATTTTGACAAGGAATTTCCTTCAGAATGCGGGAGTCAACGTCATGGACTGGCCGTCAAGGTCTCCCGACCTCAATCCCATCGAACACGTCTGGGATGCTCTTGTCAGAAGTCTGCGCACTCTCCAGAACCAACCACAGAACTTGCAAGATCTTGGCACCATTTTGCAGCAACAATGGCGTCGTCTTCCCAATCATGTGTTCACAAGCATCACATTGCAAGGTCCATGCGGAGGCGTTGTGTGGCAGTTGTCAACGCACATGGTGGCCATACACGCTACTGAACTTGTGTGCCATCAGATTCTCGTGCTTGGGACTTATGATTTAAACTGTTGATGTTATTACCGAATACCGTAGGTGCTTGGAACAAATTATGGTTACCACCGTTAATTAAAATCCTTCTTTGGACATTAATGATTAAAATTACCTTCTCTGATACATTTGTCCGTTGTATATCATATATGGGATTACTTTCAAAAATGTAAAGTTTTTAATTTGACTCAGTATATAATATAACATATAATATCAAATTTTAAACGGGTACGGTGCTTACAGACCCAGGATCGTTATCGTCATGGTGGCGTTCAGGTTTCCTTTCAAATTGTAGCGTGATCATACCATATATGTATATATATAAATTATATATATCGCTATTAATCAAAATCCCGATAGGGGCATTACAATAACGGAATATGGCCCATGGCCCCTTTGTCTTTGACATTTCTGGGGAGTGTAGTGACGAATACATGCGGAGCAAACGAAGACATTAGAGCCAGAATTGGAAAAGCCAGACAGGCTTTTGTCACCTTAAGAATAATATGGAAGAATACAAACATCACTCTGAGAACCAAACTGCGGATTTTGTAAACCAACGTCAAATCTGTCCTGCTTTATGGATCTGGAAACAAACAAAGAAGACAGACCACGACCTCCAAGTCTTCATCAACAAATGCCTCAGACAACTGCTAAAAATAAGATGGCCTGAGAAATTATCAAACCAGGATCTTTGGAACAAAACAAGCTCCAATAATGGATACCATCAAGAAAAAGAAATGGCGGTGGATAGGTCACATCCTAAGAAGGCCGCAAGGAAATACGCGAAACAAGCACTCGACTGGAACCCACAAGGCAAGAGAAAGAGGGGAAGACCCGTTACATCCTGGCGACGAACCCTGGAATCAGAACTGAGATCAATCCACATGTTATGGGGAGAAACAAAACGAAGAGCACAAGTCTGAAACAGATGGAGACCTGTTGTGAAGGCCCTGTGCTCCTCAAGGGCTACGGGGCGGTCGGGTAGCCTAGTGGTTAAAGCGTTCGCTCGTCACGCCGAAGACCCGGGTTCGATTTCCGACATGGGTACAATGTGTGAAGCCCATTTCTGGTGTTCCCCGCCGTGATATTGCTGGAATATTGCTAAAAGCGGCGTAAAACCATACTCACTCACTCACTCATCAAGGGCTACACGGGAATAAGTCAAGTAAGTCAACTAACTAAACTGTCAGTTAAACACTACTTGGCAATGACGGAACTTCTTTTATTACTTGCCCGTGAAGAGATCACCCTTTTAATAAACATACAGCTGTATTACACATTGTGTAATACCAAAACGCGTGCTCATGTACTCTCGGAACACGTTTCACGAACAAATACTGTATTGAAAGCTCTTAACATCCCTTGGCTTATTCAACGACATTGCGTGTGGAGTTGATAGATCACCGAGAGGAGCTTATGCACACTCGATGACCCAAGCAAACTTGTTGCAAGGCTGACGTCACATGGCATTGTTTCGCCGATGGATCTTGCAACAAAATTCCACAAATTACGTCATCGGGTATTGTGACGTTATTGTAAACTTTGAGGTGCAAGGCCCGCTCCACAAGGCGATCGTATTGTAGCGCAAAGACAGTCGTTAGTCTAAGTTAAAGTATGTGAGTTGCGATAGTCTTAGCCCTACGATAATTTTGTTAATTCTTAAGGTGGACCGTTGTATGGTATTTAAATCATACGTTTCAACTCTTGACGTGTTTGAAGTATTATTCTGTTAAACTCAATTGGACTATGCCGTGGATCGTGTAGGTGTCAGCCTATTCATACTCAACAGTATAATTCTAAAAACGTTATAAATGGCAAGTAATAAATAAAATACTTAACTCGCTCCCGTGTAAAACCAATTTATTCAGATACCAGAACTATTCACTCGTTTCATAAAGTTTGTATTACACGGGAGCTCGTTTAGTATTCTATATTTTCCACCTTACTTGATGATGAAACAATGTCACGAAAAACGCGTTGCGTTAACGGATATCGGCAACGTGGAAGAAGTCATGTGGAGCCAAATATTCAACTCCAAAAGAAACTAGAAACATCAAAACATATAGAGAAGTATGTTCGTTAAGAAGAGGTGTACCACTTTATGACAAAACTAGCAGTCAATCAACTGTTACCACCGTGTCTTTATTCTTATCACGATATGCTGCACGTGATTTCCCAACTTTACACGCTAATCCTGCACGAGTCAAATGGTGTATCTCGAGTCATGGATCTATGTTATGCGAACAAAAGCGTCGGTACACACAACATAACTGTATGTCCGTTTGTGCATCAAACCAATCTCTTGAATATGAGTGTCTTCATATATTTTCCAACATATATTGTATTCGCGTTCCTTTTGTCGGTGAGAATATATTCACATACATCAAGACGAAGACAGTTAATCCATTTATGAACTGGTATGTCTGTGGATGTTTTCAGTATGATATCCCTTATGTTAAACGAACGAGTGCTTTGATATATTTTCATTTAAGCTACTCTTTTCCTGTTCAGAGCTATGCTTGTTCATAATAGGCCATATGAGCCAATAATATTAAGGTGATTGATAAATGTGCCAGAGTGGGTCAAATATAAACTGTATACTTGCCCCGTGACGTACATTTCACAACAAGAATCACCAAAGATGATCCTTTAGATTGCCTCTCTTTAGTTTTAATTCGCACAGCCGTCATATAGCTGGAATATTGCCGAGTGCGTTAAACAACAAACCAACCAACTAGTTATAATTCGCAGATAATCATAAAACTGCGAATTTTCACTACATCTTCTAGTATTACTTTTTTTATTTAAGGACTCCCTGGTCTCAGGAGCATAGGTCCGTGTTAATAAAATTGCATTTAAATCGTGGCATTTGTTGAGGACAAGCATTATACAATGAGCAATTTATTATAACATTGCAGTCACCTTCAACAACATTGAGACACTAAACACATTTTCTATCCTGAATTTGACATGCGACAATGAATGTTCCGTCACGAGGTGACCAGATGACCTTCACGTGTCAGGTCTCGACGATCTCAGTTGTTTGACTTCACTATGCAAATGGGTCACACACGAGGGGTAGGTATACCGGCGAAGCCGAGTACACCCTTATGTAGGTCATGACATACTTACATGTGTAAACATGTTGGCCATTTAAAAAAGTTGTCTGTTTATAAAGGATCAGAATTACAATGGTGTGTTTTCTCTGACAATATTTACACAGAAGGCTTGATTATATGGTAGGAATGACCGCGCGAGATACTGATTAAGGAGGAGGGGGTAGTGGGGTAGGAGGGAAGGGGAGAGACAGAGAGAGGGAGAGAGGGGTGGGGAGTGGGTGATGGAGAGAGAAAGAGCGAAGGAGGGAGGGCGAAAGACAGAGAGAGATTAAGGATGGGGGGGTGAGAGAGAGGGAGGTAGATGGGAAGGCGAGATAGAGAGAGAGAGAGAGGGCGAAAGACCGAGCGAGATAGTGATTAAGGGGGGGGGGGGGGAGGAGGTAGGGGGAGAGAAAGAGGGGGTAGGAGGGAAGGGGAGAGACAGATAGATAGAGAGAGAGGGTGTTGGGAGTGGGTGATGAAGAGAGAGAGGGAGGGAGAGAGAGAGCGAAGGAGGAAGGGCGCAAGACCAAGGACAGAGAGAGAGAGAAAAATTTTTCCAAAGTTCAGCTCAAGAAAGGCCTCGAGCCTTTACTCCAACAATGTAAACTTAGTATATGGGGTTAATATATGGGGTTGTGACTTATTGTTCCGACGTTCTTCAAATAACTGATATCTGATACGTTGAGACCATCAGCCATGTACATAGCAACACGGCCATAGACCCCTCCACGCCATGGAGTAACATTATACCGTATATATTGGAATAAACGCAAAGCTCGAGTAAACACGACGGACTGAATTAGAATTAGGGACCGACAATTTGATATCCAGGGGTTAGAAGGGGTAGTGGAGGCTGGGACTTTATCGAAAAAAATAAAATGTCCCCGAAAATTATAAAATAAATTATTAATATATATACGTGTAACATAATATTATAATTTTTCTTTCGATTGTTGAAAAGTAAAGAAATTGCCTGCCAAACATTCATTGTTGCAATGTGTTTTTGTTAAAAAGAAATTTTAACAAGGCTCAAGAAGAAAAATATCTGGATTATGTAGCTGTAGCCGCGATACACCGAAATATTATTCGCCTGACTTGAATTAACGCCGTCAAGTGCGCACCGAAAAATACGTCATACGTCAGATAGCGATCAAACCCCAACTGACAGAAAAAAACGTCTGAGACTCGCTTCAGTCCGGGTCTTAAATATACACTGGGTCATTGTAATAAAAAAACACACATTTGGGGTTCTATTAGAGGAAAGGCGGCATATTAGAACCACTATCCAATTTAAGTTTGATATGAGGGGAAGCTATTTTTTGTTCTATCCTCAAATGTACGGTAAACATGAAAGGTAGCTGTGCTTGAGTTCAGTGTGTTCTGGGAGCACGCAGAGAAAAGGACACTTTGAAAATCTCCGCCGCATTTGTAAGTATATGTCTTAGTGCTTTGCTGCTAAGAAACCTTAGGATAACAACTTCTGAATATTGCACGTAGCCATTTCGATGTTGATTGTCACACCGTTATCAAGCTGGGGTGTAAGGATGATAAAATCTGCATCGAAACGTCACTATATGCAATAAACAAGAAGCTGTCGTTCATAAAGTTGTACGTTTTATTATTGATTTGAACTTCTAGAATGCCAACCAACAGTTACGATTCCAGCAATATTAAGTCAGGGGACGCCAGGTACGGACTTCATGCACATATACTCATACTATATAGCACGAAGACTCCGTTTGTAGATAAGCGTCACCTGTTCTGGAAGTGATTCACACTCAGCACGTTCATAAATATTTAACTTGCGTTGGGGTTCTGGGTTGAGCTAATTTCAGAGTACTCCGAGCTTATCGCACGAAGCTAAGTTGCAATGTCGTGGTTTCACTCAGACAATTGTTCAGAATCAAAATAAGCGCGTATTATGTTTGAATATAATACCCTTTCACTTCAATCCATTTGGGACCGCCTACGTGGTCTAGTGGTAGAGCGTCTGCCCGGAGAGCGTTAGGTGCGGGGTTCGATTCCCGGTGGCGTCATATCAAAGAACGTTAAAAGGTGGTACCTGATGTTACCCTGTCTGGCGCTCGGTATAAGGGGCTGAAAGACTGGTCGTCTTGGTGTCAGTGGGATAGCACTATAAATTCAGCATTAGTCTGGACTTGTACACACACACACACACACACACACACACACACACACGTGCACACACACACACACACGTGCACAAACACACACACACGTGCACACACATACACACACACATACACTCACACACACATACACACACACACACATGCGACGTTACGCTGCATGTCACCTCACCTTATTCTGACGCTACCTCCAGATTCACTCTGTGGGTTAGCTCATTACAATTAATTCTTGATACATTTGTTTTTCACTGTCAATCCTTATAGACGCCTACCAAGACCTACAGAGATGAAGAGAAGTGCTACCTACAGGGAGAAGTTCCTTCACTCCGTCTTTCTGTTCTGGGCGTTCTTTGTCACGGTAAGAGGGGTGAATACGAGTTGATCACGGTAAGAGAGATGTGTGCGTGTTTATCACGGGAAGAGAGATGTTTGCGTGTTTATCACGGTAAGAGGGATGTATGCGTGTTTATCAAGGGAAGAGATATTTAAGCCTGTTTGTCACAGTAATTATAAGGGGGCTTTTTGCGTGTTACGGTAAGAGGGATGTGTGAAGAGAGATTTATGCGTGTTTGTCATGGTAAGGTACAGGGGGAATTATGCGTGTTTTTGATGGGAAGATAGATTTAGGCGTATTTGTCACGGTAAAAGGGTTGTATGAGTGTTTATCCCAGGAAGAGAGATGTATGAGTGTTTATCACGGTAAGAGGGATGTATGCGCGTTTGTCACACTAAGAGGGATGTATGCGCGTTTGTCACACTAAGAGGGATGTATGAGTGTTTATCACGGTAAGAGGGATGAATGAGTGTTCATCACGGTAAGAGGGATATATGAGTGTTTATCACAGTAAGAGAGATGTATGAGTGTTTATCACAGTAAGAGGGATGTATGAGTGTTTATCACGGTAAGAGGGATGTATGAGTGTTTGTCACAGTAAGAGGGATGTGTGCGTGTTTGTCACAGTTAGAGGGATGTATGAGTGTTTATCACAGTAAGAGGGATGTATGAGTGTTTATCACGGTAAGAGGGATGTATGAGTGTTTGTCACGGTAAGAGGGATGTGTGCGTGTTTGTCACAGTTAGAGGGATGTATGAGTGTTTATCACAGTAAGAGGGATGTATGAGTGTTTATCACGGTAAGAGGGATGTATGAGTGTTTACCAAGGTAAGAGGGATGTATGAGTGTTTATCACAGTAAGAGGGATGTATGAGTGTTTATCACGGTAAGAGAGATGTATGAGTGTTTATCACGGTAAGAGGTGTGGTGAAATGGGGTTTAACGCCGCGTCCAAGATTATTGCACTTATATAGCGACGTGCATCACATGTGTGTAGCTGCTTTTACTAGTCCGGACACTGAGATACCATGCCGCAGTTTAACATGACTACCCCACTCAGACACAGAATACTGACTCCGAGCCGTCCAGTCATTGTTATAGCCTCTTAAAACCGAGCGCCAGACAGGTATGACGCGGTCGGGGATCGAACACCGGACCTTCCGCTCTCCGGGCGGACGCTCTAGCACTAGACCACGGAGGCGGTCTCACGGCAAGAGGGATGTATGAATGTGTTTCACAGTAAGGGAGATTCATGCGTGTCTTTCACGTTAAGAGCTATTAATGCCTGTGTGTCATGATAAGAGAGATGTATGCGTGTTTGACAAGGTAAGATTTTATATTCGTGTTTGTCATGGTATGCGGGATGTATGCATATTTGTCACGGTTAGATGGATGACACTTTTTTGTCACGATAAAAAGTATTTATTCGTTTCTATCATGGTTTAGGGGGACGTACACTTATTTGCCACGATAAGGCGTTTTTATACATGTTTGTCACGGTAAGAGGTACGCATGCGTGTCTGTCACGTTAAGGGATATTTTTCATGCGTATATACGTGGAGCCTTTTCTGGATAAAATTTGGTATGCTTTGTAACCGACGAATGCAATGCGTAAGCCCGACTTCTAGGTCTTGGTACCACGTTTTAACAAGTAAATCAAATAAACAAACAGACGTATTTTGTATATTTTGAAGTCCGTATAAAACGTCAAGCATGGCCCCGCCTTCCCGGTATCAGTGACACTATTATATCAGGAAGTACTGAACACTTCCAAGTATTTCTTCTATATGTTGTAGAGCGTCAGCAGTGTCATGCAAGGCCCCGCCTTTCTGTCTCAGTGGAATTTTCTATCAGGAAGTACTTACACGAATGTTTTAGGGTGTCTTAACGTCAGCATGTAAACATTTCCACGTATGTTTTAGGGCGTCCGAAACGTCATCATGTAAACATTTCCACGTATGTTTTAGGGTGTCCGAAACGTCATCATGTTAACATTTCCACCTATGTTTTAGGGTGTCTTAACGTCATCATGTAAACATTTCCACGTATGTATTAGGGTGCCTTAACGTCAGCAAGTAAACATTTCCACCTATGTTTTAGGGTGTCTTAACGTCAGCATGTAAACATTTCCACGTATGTTTTAGGGCGTCCGAAACGTCATCATGTAAACATTTCCACGTATGTATTAGGGTGCCTTAACGTCAGCAAGTAAACATTTCCACGTATGTTTTAGGGTGTCTTAACGTCAGCAAGTAAACATTTCCAGGTATGTTTTAGGGTGTCTTAACGTCAGCAAGTAAACATTTCCACGTATGTTTTAGGGTGTCTTAACGTCAGCAAGTAAACATTTCCACGTATGTTTTAGGGCGTCCGAAACGTCATCATGTAAACATTTCCACGTATGTATTAGGGTGCCTTAACGTCAGCAAGTAAACATTTCCACGTATGTTTTAGGGTGTCTTAACGTCAGCAAGTAAACATTTCCAGGTATGTTTTAGGGTGTCTTAACGTCAGCATGTAAACATTTCCACGTATGTTTTAGGGTGTCTTAACGTCAGCAAGTAAACATTTCCAGGTATGTTTTAGGGTGTCTTAACCTCAGCATGTAAACATTTCCAGGTATGTTTTAGGGTGTCTTAACGTCAGCAAGTAAACATTTCCAGGTATGTTTTAGGGTGTCTTAACCTCAGCATGTAAACATTTCCACGTATGTTTTAGGGTGTCTTAACGTCAGCAAGTAAACATTTCCACGTATGTTTTAGGGCGTCCGAAACGTCATCATGTAAACATTTCCACGTATGTATTAGGGTGCCTTAACGTCAGCAAGTAAACATTTCCACGTATGTTTTAGGGTGTCTTAACGTCAGCAAGTAAACATTTCCAGGTATGTTTTAGGGTGTCTTAACGTCAGCATGTAAACATTTCCACGTATGTTTTAGGGTGTCTTAACGTCAGCAAGTAAACATTTCCACGTATGTTTTAGGGTGTCTTAACCTCAGCATGTAAACATTTCCAGGTATGTTTTAGGGTGTCTTAACGTCAGCAAGTAAACATTTCCAGGTATGTTTTAGGGTGTCTTAACCTCAGCATGTAAACATTTCCACGTATGTTTTAGGGTGTCTTAACGTCAGCAAGTAAACATTTCCACGTATGTTTTAGGGTGTCTTAACGTCAGCATGTAAACATTTACAGGTATGTTTTAGGGTGTCTAAACGTCAGCGAGTTAACATTTCCACGTATGTTTTAGGGTGTCTTAACGTCAGCAAGTAAACATTTCCACGTATGTTTTAGGGTGTCTTAACGTCAGCATGTAAACATTTCCACGTATGTTTTAGGGTGCCTTAACGTTAGCAAGTAAACATTTCCACGTATGTTTTAGGGTGTCTTAACCTCAGCATGTAAACATTTCCAGGTATGTATTAGGGTGTCTAAACGTCAGCGAGTTAACATTTCCACGTATGTTTTAGGGTGTCTTAACGTCAGCAAGTAAACATTTCCACGTATGTTTTAGGGTGTCTTAACGTCAGCATGTAAACATTTACAGGTATGTTTTAGGGTGTCTAAACGTCAGCGAGTTAACATTTCCACGTATGTTTTAGGGTGTCTTAACGTCAGCAAGTAAACATTTCCACGTATGTTTTAGGGTGTCTTTAACGTCAGCATGTAAACATTTACAGGTATGTTTTAGGGTGTCTAAACGTCAGCGAGTTAACATTTCCACGCATGTCTTATTGTGTCTTAACGTCAGCAAGTTAACATTTCCAGGTATGTATTAGGGTGTCTTAACGTCAGCGAGTTAACATTTCCAGGTATGTTTTAGGGTGTCTTAACGTCAGCGAGTTAACATTTCCACGTATGTTTTAGGGTGCCTTAACGTCAGCATGTAAACATTTCCACGTATGTTTTAGGGTGTCTTAACGTCAGCAAGTAAACATTTCCACGTATGTTTTAGGGCGCCCGAAACGTAAGCAAGTAAACATTTCCACGTATTTTGTTGAGATCGTAGGACGTCCACTACGCCATGCATGTCCTAACCTTCATCGTCCTCCTATTTTCTTTCAGAAGCACGTATACCCCTACATGTGTGTCTTGTATGATGTAGGGCCATGCATGGCCCCGCCTTGTTATTGTAACTGGAACTTTTATATCAGCACGTTTACCCCTACATGTGTGTCTTGTATGTTGTAGGGCCATGCATGGCCACGCCTTGTTAATGTTAGGGGAACTTTTGTATCAGCAAGTATACCATTACATGTGTGTCTTCTACGTTGTAGAGCCATGCATAGCCCCGCCTTGTTAATGTTAGTGGAACTTTTGTATCAGCAAGTATACCATTACACGTGTGTCTTGTATGTTGCAGAGCCATACATGGCCCCGCCTTGTTATTGTAACTGGAACTTTTGTATCAGCAAGTATACCATTACACGTGTGTCTTGTATGTTGTAGAGCCATACATGGCCCCGCCTTGTTATTGTAACTGGAACTTTTGTATCAGCAAGTATACCATTACACGTGTGTCTTGTATGTTGTAGGGCCATACATGGCCCCGCCTTGTTATTGTAACTGGAACTTTTGTATCAGCAAGTATACCATTACACGTGTGTCTTGTATGTTGTAGAGCCATACATGGCCCCGCCTTGTTAATGTTAGTGGAACTTTTGTATCAGCAATTATACCATTACATGTGTGTCTTGTATGTTGTAGGGCCATACGTTGCTCCGCCTTGTTAATGTTGGTGGAACTTTTGTATCAGCAAGTATACCATTACACGTGTGTCTTGTATGTTGTAGGGCCATACATGGCCCCGCCTTGTTAATGTTAGTGGAACTTTTGTATCAGCAATTATACCATTACATGTGTGTCTTGTATGTTGTAGGGCCATACATGGCCCCGCCTTGTTAATGTTAGTGGAACTTTTGTATCAGCAATTATACCATTACATGTGTGTCTTGTATGTTGTAGGGCCATACGTTGCTCCGCCTTGTTAATGTTGGTGGAACTTTTGTATCAGCAAGTATACCATTACACGTGTGTCTTGTATGTTGTAGGGCCATACATGGCCCCGCCTTGTTAATGTTAGTGGAACTTTTGTATCAGCAAGTATACCATTACACGTGTGTCTTGTATGTTGTAGAGCCATACATGGCCCCGCCTTGTTATTGTAACTGGAACTTTTGTATCAGCAAGTATACCATTACACGTGTGTCTTGTATGTTGTAGAGCCATACATGGCCCCGCCTTGTTATTGTAACTGGAACTTTTGTATCAGCAAGTATACCATTACACGTGTGTCTTGTATGTTGTAGAGCCATACATGGCCCCGCCTTGTTATTGTAACTGGAACTTTTGTATCAGCAATTATACCATTACATGTGTGTCTTGTATGTTGTAGAGCCATACATGGCCCCGCCTTGTTAATGTTAGTGGAACTTTTGTATCAGCAATTATACCATTACATGTGTGTCTTGTATGTTGTAGGGCCATACGTTGCTCCGCCTTGTTAATGTTGGTGGAACTTTTGTATCAGCAAGTATACCATTACACGTGTGTCTTGTATGTTGTAGGGCCATACATGGCCCCGCCTTGTTAATGTTAGTGGAACTTTTGTATCAGCAAGTATACCATTACACGTGTGTCTTGTATGTTGTAGGGCCATACATGGGCCCGCCTTGTTATTGTTAGTGGAACTTTTGTATCAGCAAGTATACCATTACACGTGTGTCTTGTATGTTGTAGAGCCATACATGGCCCCGCCTTGTTATTGTAACTGGAACTTTTGTATCAGCAAGTATACCATTACACGTGTGTCTTGTATGTTGTAGGGCCATACATGGCCCCGCCTTGTTAATGTTAGTGGAACTTTTGTATCAGCAATTATACCATTACATGTGTGTCTTGTATGTTGTAGGTCCATACGTTGCTCGCCTTGTTAATGTTGGTGGAACTTTTGTATCAGCAAGTATACCATTACACGTGTGTCTTGTATGTTGTAGGGCCATACATGGCCCCGCCTTGTTAATGTTAGTGGAACTTTTGTATCAGCAAGTATACCATTACACGTGTGTCTTGTATGTTGTAGGGCCATACATGGGCCCGCCTTGTTATTGTTAGTGGAACTTTTGTATCAGCAAGTATACCATTACACGTGTGTCTTGTATGTTGTAGGGCCATACATGGGCCCGCCTTGTTATTGTTAGTGGAACTTTTGTATCAGCAAGTATATCATTACACGTGTGTCTTGTATGTTGTAGGGCCATACATGGCCCCGCCTTGTTTATGTTAGTGGAACTTTTGTATCAGCAATTATACCATTCCACGTGTGTCTTGTATGTTGTAGGGCCATACATGCCTCGCCTTGTTAATGTTGGTGAAAAGTTTGTATCAGCAAGTATACCTTTACATGTGTGTCTTGTATGTTGTAGGGCCATACATGGCCCCGCCTTGTTAATGTTTCTGGAACTTTTGTATCAGCAAGTATACTATTACACGTGTGTCTTGTATGTTGTAGGGCCATACATGGGCCCGCCTTGTTAATGTTAGTGGAACTTTTGTATCAGCAAGTAAACCCCTACATGTGTTTCGTGTATGTTGTAGGGCCATTCATGGCCCCGCCTTGTTAATGTTACTGGAACTTTTGTATCAGCAAGTAAACCCCTACATGTGTTTCTTGTATGTTGTAGGGCCATATATGGCCCCGCCTTGTTAATGTTACTGGAACTTTTGTATCAGCAAGTATACCATTACACGTGTGTCTTGTATTTTGTAGGGCATCCACAATGCCATGCATGGCCACGCCTTGTTAATGTTAGGGGAACTTTTGTATCAGCAAGTATACCATAACACGTGTGTCTTGTATTTTGTAGGGCATCCACAATGCCATGCATGGCCCCGCCCTCCTTGACCTGGCTCAGATCACTCATACCAATGTAGAACAAGCCTCTGTGTTCTTCACCGCCATGGCTGCGGGTGGATTACTGGGGACGATGTGTCTGAGCTGGCTCTTTGATCGCTTCCCCCGCCACCAGTGCCTCCTTCTCGGCGTCGCCAGCTTCGGTGTCGGCATCACGATGGCTGCAATACCCTGGAGTTTACAGTACATCCTCACCATAGCGCTCTGCTTCATCAACCAGTTCCTCAGTGGTGGAATGGAAACAGGTAAAACAACGATAGAGGGACTGTAGAGTTAGTGAGCGTTTAGGTTCTATAGTCATACAGCCTGGCAACCCAAACCACTTAGTCGCCTACCCGTGAAGATCCGGGTTAGAATATGTCGCTTGTGAGAATGCTTGTCGTAAGAGGCGATTATGTTTGTCTTAAGATATGTCTTGGTGTGTCTTGGTATGTCTTGATATGTCTCGGTATGTCTTGGGATCTCTTTGTATGTCTTGATATGTCTTGGTATGTATTGATATGTATTGATATGTATTGATATGGCTTGGTATGTATTGATATGTATTGATATGTCTTGGTTTGTCTTGGTTTGTATTGATATGTCTTGATATGTCTCGGTATGTCTTGATATGTCTTTGTATGTCTTGATATGTCTTGGTATGTATTGATATGTCTTGATATGTCTTGATATGGATTGGTATTTATTGACATGTCTTGATATGTCTTGGTGTGAATTGGTATGTTTATGAATGCTGTCATGAATATTGTATTTTCATTTTTTTGCAGTATGCAACACCGACATGGTCGCCACGTGGGGCAGTGAAGGCAATATGCATCTTCAGTTCATGCACTTCACATTGGCCGCCGGAGCAACAATAGCTCCTCTCATTGTAGAACCTTTCCTTGCAAAATCCCAGAATTTGAACTTAATATCATCTGATGAGACCGCCAATGGAACCGTATTTCCCAGTTCAATTTCAACATCTCACAGTCCAGTATTCTTGGCGGAGCCGAATAATTCCGTAATATATAACGTAACAAATACTACGGGTTTTTTGCCTCGTCATGACCAGGCGGAAGTGCCCAGTCTTATTCAGTACGCATACCTTATCAGCGGAGTCATGTCAATCACGGCTGCAGTTCCCTTTCTTGTGGAGATTTGTACGTCAGACAGGAGATCGCGACATCGGCCTGCTCAGTCAGACCTGATAGCCAGACCTGCTCTACCCCCGAGACTCAGATATCCAGTTTTTATATTCGTAGGATTATTTTTCGTATGTACGTGTGCCGCGGGCGGCTCGTATATCGCCTACCTGGCTACCTTCTTTGTGAAACAACGTGGATGGACGAAATACCTCGCGTCCTTAATTACGACAGCCTTCTGGGGGAGTCTATGTCTGTTTAGGCTGGTAGCGGTTGTCCTGTGCAAGTTTCTTTCTCCTTTGGTGATGATGAATGTGTTCCAGACGTTGATGCTGCTGTCGATGCTGATGACGTGGCTGTTTGTTCACTTGGACTCCGACACGTGTCTCTGGATATCTGTTATCGGGACGGGTGCATCAATCTCAACCTTGTTTGCCTCCATGGTTGCTTACGTCAATAATGACGTCATGCCCGTGACGGGTAGTGTGACGACAATCGTTATGATTGGCTCTAATATTTCGGGGATATTGAACCCGGTCGTGATGGGGCACCTGCTTCAAGAAGTATCGGTTATGTGGTTCGTGTATTTGCCTATCATTGAACAGTCTGCTGCGTTTGCTGCTTTCTTGGGTCTGGTGTTGTATTCCAAGGTATGCATCAGTCCATACGTACAGAAGTGTTCCGTGCTAACTGAGGCTGAGGCAGACCTGGACACTCCTGTTATGAAGAACACAGATTGATTTAATTATCGTCTTGAAGATCTTTATTTACTAACTAATTCCTCATCTCACCAGCTGTTGTGTCACACTGACACTCCTGTTATGAAGTACACAAACTGATTCAATAAATCGTGATATGTGACGTCGAACACATGCTTGAAAATTTGTCTTGACGATCTTCAATTAGGAACTAACTCCGCACTTCCTGAGCTATTGTGTCACATTGACACTCCTGTTATGAAGTGCACAGACTGATTTAACGGCCGTGACATGTGATATCGGACATATGCTTAAAAACTTGTTTTGAACATCTTCTAATACGAAAACCAACTCTGCACTTCCTTTTTGAGCTTTTACATGATACTGACACTCCTGTGATAAACAATTATGGAGATTCATTTACTAATCGTGAATCACGAAAAAATGCGGATCACGTGCCGAAAATCACGAATAAGTGACTGTGAAAAATTCTCTAACACATGTACGAGGGTTGATTGATCAGTTCTAAAGCTCACGTAGAAAGCCTTGACAAAGAGACATTAAAGTTGTTTATTTTGTCAACATAAACCCCTTCGACATTGATACACTTTTGCCTACGGTGCTGTAGGGATTTCATACCAGTATTTCTTGGAAATCCAAAAGGTTCCGGCTTGAACTGTCTTCATGTTTGGAATAGACGGGAGTTTGATGGAGCCAGATCAAGAGAATAAGGTGTTCTGAAGGAGTTCAAAGCCGCACCCGTACATTCTAACCATGGCGCCGACTGATTCGTGCTGATGGAGAAGCACATTTGTTCGCAGCTTCCCACGTCTCTTAGTATTTATTATGCAGCATCCCTGGACACGGAGGCCATAACCTTTCCAGCTGATGGGACTGTCTCTGCCTTCTTTGGTGATGGTGGTGTCAAATGCTTCCACTGTTTTGATTGTTGTTTGGACTCCGACAGGAACATGTGAATCGTTGCAAGAACCTTTCTGCACCAGCTTCAAACAGAGATAGATTATCACTGGGCATGATGTGCTTGGTGCGTTTTGGTCAGACGCCAGAAGCGTTGGAACCCGACGAATTGATACTCTCTTTATTGCCAAAGTCTTCTGTAATAATATAATGAAATCTTACGTATTAAATGTCTTCTGAATATGCAGTATGGCGATCAATCAGTTGCCGGTCGGTCATTACCATATCGTCTACAACCTGTCTCAAAATAGGTTGTCAGCAAACCTAATTAATGTGTACGTCGTCACGCCTTCACACTCAGAAAACTTCATACATTAATAATAGCTGAATAAACAGTTTACTCCAAATATTATATATGTAACATGGTTCACATATTGTCATTAGGCAATCATTTTGCCTAGTAATAATTTCATGTTTCCTTAGTATGTGATTGTGATTACCCAATAGCAAAGTCAAAGTCAAGGTCGGTCTTGTAATACCGCCCCTCTCTCCCTTTGAAATCGATGTACATAAAGATATTGTCAGCGTGTTGTCTTCATAATCAGAGTCCTGGACAAGAGATGGCAGATGTAGGGATTCCTCGACCGTATCCAGCTCCATCAGCATCTGTATTCGATAGTGATAGTGAAAGTGGTTCACAAACACATGCCCCTCATACATTCAGAATCGTACAAGTGGGCGTACAAGATTCCAGTGGTAGGAATGTCACAGACCGACATGGCCAACACAGGGACCTTGTGAGTGTGAGACGCCCGTCATGGACCCGTCTCATGATCAGCTCTCAAGAGCAACTCACTCCTCTCTGACGCCTGGGGGAAGTATACACAACCTGACACCCCCACCCCCCACCCCCTAGCTCATTCACACGTCCAAGCCTCATAAACACTTCATTGCTAACAGGGTTACATAAGCTGCTCAATGTGGCGAGCAAACAAACCCATCACAGTAGCAAAACTAATCACTCTCCTGTCCACCTTTCGTCCACCTTTACCATAATCTCAATATTTAATAACCTCTTTGTTTACAATACCTGGTTACTCTTTGGTTAATATTGATAATGTTCACATATAACAACAGGACAAAGTCTGTGAAAATAATAAATTGCCTATGTTTAGACTGTTTGATAGATTCCATTAAAATGACCTTTGATTTGGCTGTAAATATGGAAGAGTTACCAGGTAATCTTGTTGATAACGATATATAACTGATTTTATCATATAATTGGTAAGTTTCTCGGCAGGATAAAGCCAACGGATAAAAACGATATCCGTTGGGGTCATATGCGGATAGAGATGCAAATATCAAAGGTCAAGTAGGACTACTTTCACTGTTTATAAACAAGCATGGCGCCGCCCTCGTCATTCGGCGATCGAGTCAGAATTAACCATCGTGAATCTGGATAAACTACAGGGATAATTGCTATCATTATCAAACGAACAGTCTAATATACTGAAAATCAGTATCTAACTGTGACGTAGCTAAGGCATTTTATAAGTTTTAGCAACTTTCGAGATATAAATTTCGAAACAATTTTGCGAGGGCACGAGGCCTAGACAAGCGGGATCAGTAGCCATATCTGTGCTTGTAGACCTCTGTGGCTTGAAACCTTCTTCACAAATCAAAATGGTTGGATTCGGCCGAAATATGTTTGAACTGTTACCTTGTTTCGTTTTGTCGCTGTGTGTACATCTGACTACACTTCTTAACGTTATGAAAGGACAGACCGACTGTCAACAAGGTCTGACCGTGGCCGTGACGTCTCATAGACTAGAGTTAGAGTAGCTTCCCTTTGACAAAGGGCAGTTACTCTAGCGGACAGACCGATGGATTGCCGCAAAAGGCAATTAAAAACAACAGTTACTGTTGTTTTGCCTATAAGTTGCTTCGCCACTGTATAAGAAACAGATTTCAGTTGGAACTATATTGGCTACTGTCACTGTCCGACTGACTAATCACTTACCCTGTGACGTAATAAATATTAATGCGCGCATTCCAGGAAAACTCGCCATGTTTCGGTAATGTTTGTGAGAGAGGGAAAGCGATTTTAAAGCACAGAATTAAAGAATGACATTATATGATAAAGAGGTTATCACGCTTGTGTGTTTGGGGATGGTAAATATCCTGTATTAGGAATAAACACTATGTATTTAGCTCGCCAGGGCTCGCTAAATACAATGTTTATTCCTAATGCAGGATATTTACCATCCCCAAACACACTCGCGTGATAACCTCTATATATTCTTGTTGAGACTATAATTGATTTGTTCCTTTAGTTTGCTCAATGAAAGGTCGACCTGTGGCTTTATCAATTGCCACGTAGAAGAAGACAGAAGCTGGAAAGGAGATATAGTTTCAAGTTCAATATTAGCAGCAGAAATAAAAGGTTTAATTCCTATTCCAAGAGGCGGAATAAGAGATAATAATTATTGTACAGATCCGCATAAAGGGATTAAATACACAGTTGTATGCAGGGTGAGCCTCATTAGAATATGGCATTGTGATATACTGTACATGTAGTTTAAGAGCTGCATGAACGGCCTCAACGTACAGACTGTCAACTGGAGAAGTTCGGAAAGATCGAAGACAGAGTCTCAGACCTTGATAATGGATAGAATATAAACGTTTAAGATTGCTTGTGCAGGTTCCACCATAGATGATGGAGCCATAATCGAGTTTAGAAGGGATGAGTGATCTATACAAGTGAAGAAGGGTTGACGGGTCCCCTCCCAACTTGGAATTTGAAACAACTTTTAATAGATCGTGTGACTCCAGGCATTTTGGTTTAAGATATTTAATATGTGGTAAGAAAGCATGATGGTGATAAAAAAAATAAACCAAAAAAAATTAAGTTTCCTTTTCAACTTAAATGGGAGTGCCCGCTAGACGTAAGACAGGATCACTATGTGGCTTATATTTTCGACAGGAATGAATGCAATTAGTTCTTGATTTAGTAAATCTAAAGGCATTACGTTCTGACCAATCACTGATTTATTCAGACAAAGCTTCAACTGTCTCTCAATCGTGTGCATATTTTTACCTGGGCATGATACATTGAAATCATCAACAAATAATGACCCATCAACAGAGTCAGTTAGAGCCTTAGATAAACTATTAATGGTTAAACTGAACAGCATCACTAATAATATGCTACCTTTTGGACCCCTTGATCTTGATCAATAATATCTGACAAGGGAGAACCCAAACGCACCTGGAAATGTCTATTTGTTAAAAACTGTGATATAAAATTAGGCATATGTCCTCTCAATCCCATCTCGTGAAGAACTATGAAACTTTCATGTGGTATTATATGCTTTTACAAGGTCGAAATATATCGATACAGCATGTTGTTTATCAATTACAGCATTTTTCTCAAATCTCTCCATTCTAACCAAATGGTCAACGGTACTTCTGTTTTTCCTAAAACCACATTGAATATTTGTTAAAGCGGCGTTAAACCCAACTCCCTCACTCATACTCTCACTATTATCAAATGCGTTACAATAACACAAGGAAACCGATGACCATCACTTACGTGGGTGCGGCGTTGAAAATATATTTGTTTAGTCGAACATTATACAAAGTAACGTCAATCGGGGTCAGGCAATACAGCCAATACGACTGATCATGACCCGCATTAATAGGCCGGACCATTACCTTATCTATGTGAGTGAGTGAGTTGTAATTTTAACGCCGCATCGGCATTATTTCAGCCTCGTAGCGACCCTTATCTATGTGAGCTTCAATAATGGACATAAAGCACACATCTGCTGGTCACATGATGCTGGTAGGAATGATAAGGAATGATTTATAAAATTAATAAGAAATGCATATCACGGTTAAGGACCATGTTTGGTCAAGATTAGGTTCTATATCAAAGCCACAAACTGATCTCAAACTGTGGTCAACATGATATGAAAGAGTCCAGACCCAGGATATGACCCTCATTGTGAAGTGTGTGTAGCGATTTCTGGGTCAGTGAGTGAGTGAGTGAGTGAGTTTGGTTTAACGCCGCTTTTAACAGTATTCCAGTCATATCACGGCGTGTCAGCTTAATGTGGGAGGAAAGCCCGAAGTGATGCAGGTCTCAGACGTTTACCACTTCGATGAAACCCAGGAGCACGGGTATTGTGTTGACAAACCTAGAAACATAATCGGGGCGAACCGGGATTCGAACCCACAATCATAGGTTTCTGGCGTGCCTAAGGGACGCAACTCTGCACAGCGAATCGCGGCTTGGCGACCCGTGCCCCCTCTTGATCAATGAAAGAGTTCGGTACTTGACGGATTATATGTGTGGTTATATGTACTTGACGGAGTATATGTGTGCTTATATGTACTGGACGAAGTATATGTGTGCTGATATGTACTTGTCGGAGTATATGTGTGTTTATATGTACTGGACGAAGTATATGTGTGCTGATATGTACTTGTCGGAGTATATGTGTGCTGATATGTACTGGACGAAGTATATGTGTGCTGATATGTACTGGACGAAGTATATGTGTGCTTATATGTACTGGACGAAGTATATGTGTGCTGATATGTACTTGTCGGAGTATATGTGTGCTGATATGTACTGGACGAAGTATATGTGTGCTGATATGTACTGGACGAAGTATATGTGTGCTGATATGTACTGGACGAAGTATATGTGTGCTGATATGTACTGGACGAAGTATATGTGTGCTTATATGTACTGGACGAAGTATATGTGTGCTGATATGTACTTGTCGGAGTATATGTGTGCTGATATGTACTGGACGAAGTATATGTGTGCTGATATGTACTGGACGAAGTATATGTGTGCTGATATGTACTGGACGAAGTATATGTGTGCTGATATGTACTGGACGAAGTATATGTGTGCTGATATGTACTGGACGAAGTATATGTGTGCTTATATGTACTGGACGTATACTTATCCCTGACATTATGAGTCAATAGACGACGTCATCAGTTTTTTTTAGATACGGACATGCATACAGTAAACTACGGTTATAACGAACACGCTTATAACGAACTGACGGATATAACGAACTTACTTTTTGGTCCCGACTACTTGCTGTAGTTATGCTGTATATGTACTTATAACGAACTACGGTTATAAGGAACTAAAATTAGTAGTCCCTTTGAGTTCGTTATAACCGTAGTTTACTGTATCTGACGTCTATAGAATCCGATAA